ATATATATATATATATATATATATAAAAACTGAACAACTTTCTTTCCTTTCAGATTCATTGCTTGTTTTGGAACAAAATCTTTCATTGAACAAATTATGGAACACGTAAAAGAAGTTGTACAGTTTTTAGTTTTCTTTTGAAAATCAATAAATTGTTAAATAAAATCCTTTCAGAAAATATGCAAAACAGAAAATGCATTTGTTATTTTTCTCTTCTCTTATATTTCTGCATATTTATAATTCAGAATGTCATTTGTGGCTGTGACCTTTTCTGTTAAATTAGGACAAAGGAAGAAAAAGCCATGGAAGAAAGAAAAATACAATAATTACAAGGAATTTATGACAGAAAAGTTAAGGTTCTTTGTCAGTACAAAAACAATACCGAAAATTTTCTCCTTTGTCAATGCACTTAATTTAATAGTGAACAGGAAACATATGTAATTCTGCTTGTATCTCCTTAGCGCATATGTTCATTATGTCCTGACAATACCTCATAATTATGCCCTCCTAATACCTCATAAATAATAGATTATTGTGTTTTGATTGCATGAAAAGACAGAAAAAAAAAAACATATCAGAGACACTATTTGGTTTCAGTGCAAAAATGAAAAAGAAAGAGATAAGAAAAGATAAAAGAAATAACACTGATATGTATAATATCTCTTTCCGTGAAATAGAAAATTTATCAATTTCAGATCTTTTCATTTGTTCCCCCTTCTTTAAATAATGACTAGCATTCATATTTATGATTGTTATTGCAATATTTGGTTAAAGTTATTAAGCTCAAATATTTAACAATCCGATAGAGAGATTTCTATGAATATTTTATTGCCATAGAACTTGAGCTATAAGCTTCTTCAATCTTTAACTCAAGAATTAAGTCTTCAGAAAATTCTAATAGGAGAACCACAATATTTTCACAGGTACTTCTCGCATAGATTGAATATTTTTAAAACATCAGATCAAAATTCAGCTGTGCCAGGCTAGACTTATTCATCAAACCTTCAATATATTATGGTTTGGTGCCAAAAATGAAAATTTGGGAAAATCTTCCATACCAATTGCAGACTCTGAGATTGTTAGCAACATGCATAAGGAAGAGGCGTGTGTGTGTAAGAGTAGATAGGTTTACTTATCATCCAGTTCACATGAGTGAAGGTTTATGCCTTGTTTCCAGCTTAGGACTGTGTTTCCAGTTACTTCTAAAGTCTTCTCGTTCTCTTTCACACACCCTCTATTTGCATCTTAGTTGCTTTATCACCTTTGCTTGCTTATTGCGAATTGATTAAATATATATTTTATATTTATCAATCCGACTGATTAACAATAATATTTAAACATTATTTTTAATGGATACACATAAAATAAAATGAATAGATATACGGTTTAAAAAATAAACTGAGTATCTACTCAAATACGGGTATCTACTGAAAAAAAAATTTAACATGAAAAAAATCTGTCAAATTAATAAATATAAATGCACATTACTTTTTTTTTTAAATTGCTTTTTTGACATTCAGATAAAAAATTAGCAGATATGAACTTTCAAGAGTCTGGAATGAGAAAGTTTGCACTTATAAGGCAAAATTTTGCTTGATTGGCGACATCCTTCGTGGCCGAGTCAGTGTAAAGCATATCAGATCAAATGACAGTTTCTCCAGCAAAAGGTAAGGTAGATTACAATCCTGCTGGAGTGCCCATCTTTTTCTTTAAAATTTCTCAAATATTGAGGCCAGTAGACAAAAACAATTTATTTAAATAACTATACGTATTCACTAAAAATAAAGTTTGGTGGACTCTCCCGTCATATTCGACATATGAGGGTCAAGCAGCTCAGTTCCTAGGAACCAACAGCCAGACACCAGCACATGTGATTTGATTATAGTGGTGAAGGCTTTGTGAAGAACCAACCACACTTTTTGAAGGGCCGAATACAGAGACCTGGTGCACTACATGCCACAAAGTCCCCAAACGACCCTCCACAGGTCTTGAATTCAGAGTTGTCCTTCTCCTAGATCAGTTGCAATCCAAGGCTGTAGAACCCAGTATGTCCTGCTATTTACTCATAGCTGGAAGGAGAAGAAGATTATTAATACCTTTCCCAAGGGCATTAGTATGTGAAGGTAATGGATTTGACTGGAATTCAAACTCGACTCTCCGATTTCTCAATCCAAGCTACTTTTCACTATTCCACTGTCCCTCCTTTAAAATAATGTTTTAAGTGATAAATATATATAAGGAATTATTGGATTTTATTTTTAATTCAAGATTAATTCTTATTATTCTAAATGTTGTTTTTAGTGGATACAGATATTTGAACATCTACCAGTCAGCACATTCGAGAGACTTAATAAAGAAAATGTGTTCCCAAGGAGAGCTTGAATCTGCATCCCCCGTGGTAGGAAAACCACCATCTGATCCAGCATGCTTTAAGCTGCTCAGACACAGAGAGCAAAATAGATCAAAAAAGGTCAATTACCCTATTTTTGAGAAAATCTGAATGAGAAGTTGTACATTCTTTAAGAAGAGTATTGAACCTTGGTGCATTGTGATACTTTAAACTGATCTACAAAGAAAGTATGTCAGATCAAACAGCCATTTGGCCCTACAATGAAGGACACAGGTTAGAACCATGCCAGAGAGCCCATTTTATTTGAAGAAGCCTAATGCAGCACCCAACCTGCAATACAACAAACTCCTGAGCAATCCTAGCCTAAAAATAATATATATGGACAATATGAAACGAAGATACAAGGCACACAATGGAAACTCAAAATGGGATGCACTAAGAGACACTTTAGTGACATCAGCAAATGATATCATCCCAAAGGAGACAGGACAAAGAAGGAAAAATTATTGGATGACTGACAAGTTTCTTGACATGATGGAAAGCAAACAGAAAAACCCTGCCAAGATACAGAACAGAGTACAGAAAATAACACAATGAAATAAGGACCAAATGCAGGCAAGCTAAAGAAGAATAGCTCAATGAAAAATGTGCAGAAATAGAGAGATTGAGTTCTACCAACAAGATACATGCACAGACAAATAAGACAACTAACAGGACAAAAAACATGCTCATCAACAGGCTGTCTAAAATCAAAGGATGGAACACTCATATTAGAGAAGAAAAAAATTCTTCAAAGCTGGAGTGAGTATATTGGAGAAATTTTCCACGACAAAAGGGAACAACCAGCAATACACAGAACTATCGATGGACCTGGAATTCTGAAAAGCCATACTGGCCAAATTGAACAGAAACAAGGCAGCTGGGCCAGACGGAATTGTAATGAAAATGCTGACAGCCTCAGATGATTCTGGCATAGACAAGATCACTGAAATAACAAATGAAATCTACAACAGCAAGGATATACTGGAAGACCTCAGCAGATCTATCTTCATAGTTATGCCTAAGAAACCAGGCACAAAGGAATGTGAACTTCACTGAACAATAAGCCATGTGACAAAACTCATGCATATTCTGTTGAATAAAGCATTCAGCAGAATCAGGCAAGAGATACGACAAGAACAGTGGGGGTTCGTTAAAGACACTGGAACAAAGAACACGACACTCATGCTCAGAATGTTATCAGAGAGAGCAATACAGATGCAGAAGGACATGTAACTATGTTTCCCAGACTGTGCAAAGGCCTTCAACAAAGTATGCAACAAGGATCTGATGGAACTGCTCAGCAATTTTGATATATTCGAGTAAGCTATCAGAATAATCAAGAACCTATACTGGCAGCAAACAACATGCACAGGGAAGTTCAGTGAAGATACAAAAATAGAAAGGGACATAAGGCAAGGATGCGCCTTCTCACCTGACCTGGTCAACCTATACAGCAAGGCAATTCTGTGAGAGTTGGAAACCCTGCTGGGATTTAGCATCGGCGACCACAATCTTAACAACATAAGATATGCAGATGACACTACTGATAGCTGACATGGAAAAGAAATTAAAAAATTTCCAAAAGAAGGTAGCGACAGAGAGTGAGAAGAAAGGACTAAGCATAAACTACAAGAAGACAGAATGCATGGTCATCAGACGATGAGCCCAAAATTCGATTTGCAGGTTGGGAACACTAGAATCAAGCAGACGTGTTTTGAGAGAGGATGGTAAGTGCGATGTGGAGATCTGAAGATGTACTGGAATGGCCAAGGACACATTCCAAAAGCTAGGCAGAGTATTAAGAGACAGGAGGATTTCTTTGGTAACAAAGAAAAGAATACTGAGCTGTTACATGACATCTGTTCTTCTTTATGGCAGTGAATGTTGAACGATTTCCTCAAAGAGGAAGAAGAGACTTGAGGTGACAGAGATGTGGTTCTACAGAAGGATGCTAAGGATATCATGGACTGAGCGTGCAAGCAACAACGTCATCTTAAAGAGGTTGCAATCAAGGAGGAGGCTTATACTTAACATCAGGAAGAGGCAGCTGAAGTTTCTGGGACACATAATTAGGAAGGAAGGCTTGGAGAATCTGATACTCACAGGTCAAATAGAGGGAAAGAGGGACAAGGGAAAACAACACATGACATACCTGATGAGCTTAAGCAAGTGGATGACAGAACATGGTCTGGGGGGGAAGCAAATGCCTGTGTCTTACCCCAACATGTAAACATGTGGTTGACCCAGCTGCACCAATGACGTGCATATGCAGGAAAAACCATATGATAGGTAGATATATAAACACCCACTAGAGTGTAAAAAATAAAAAATGAAAGAGTTTCAAACAATCCCATGAAAATGTAGAATGTAAAGTCATGCATGCACTGGCTGACAGATATTGACAAACACTAAAGCTAAATAAAATGTAATATTCTACATGAGATTAAGTCTTGGGTTCTTATAAGAATAAAAAAACGATAATGTTACATATGGAAACAGCAGGGTTTCAAGTTTCATGTGAATGCCAGCATCTGAAACTGTTGAGAAACAGAAATGTCCTCAAATATGTGCAAATGACAATTTCCCAAGTATATAGAAAGAGCCTTACCTTCTTGATATCAAAACTTGATGTATAGAGGCAGCCTTTACCATTGTTAATTTCCACTTTAGCATTTTCCACATATCCAACATCATGTCGTCCCATGTCATCCTGAATATCTAAGCCAATAACTGAAACAAATCGAATGTGCATCAGTTGAAATAACATTTATATATTGTTTTTAGAAATATACAATAGCAATAAAATGTTCAATTTTCCTCACAGTGAAGTTTGTTTTATAAAGTAATTAAGATTGGTGTGAAATGTGTGGACAGACTTACTACGATGGTAAGCCTAATGTGTTTGTAGACAAAAGCTTAGTAGGCAGTTGCTAGTTAATTCTTTTCACTGCATGCATGAACAAGGACTTAGTCAATGGCTGTGTGCATGTATGTGTATACACATGTAGATCAAACTGGCCTCCCAGATCAGAGTGAACTCCTAAAAGAAGTGGGCTTCTATTTTTATATCCATATGGGTATTAAAAATCTAATTTCACATAGAGGTGTAAACTTTTTAAATACAAGATTTTCATTAGTTAGAAAATAAATTCACAGTGGTTCGCAAAAATATTTTTTTCTCAAATTTGCCAGTGGTGAAGGAAGTTAATGTTGCTATTTTCTAAATGGTCCAAACATAACATGTGATAGGTCTACAACTACGTCCACAAGTATTTTGGCAGTATTTGCCCTTGTAATTATTGTTTATCCAACAAACTTTCTGATGGAATTTTATTGGTTGGAAAATATACAGAAAGAATTTAATTCCTATAGGAGTATACAGCAAGAGCCACGTCAAAAAAAAAAAAAAAAAAAAAAAATGTTCTTTTAACAGTGTTACCTGGCTGGTACATATGTTAAACATTGTCAAAGGTTTAATAGGTATCTACTCTGCACTATTATTGTTGCCTTTTTATCAATAAAAACTCTGGATCAATAAACTATTCAACTTACAACAAACACTTAAGAGCCTGTCTATTAGAAATGTTGTTTGAAGCAATTTTCTATGGAAACGTCAATGAATAACTAAGCATAAATCTCTAAGTAATCTGCCACCGTATCCCTTGAAATTCTTGATGTCATCTAGTTTTTATGATCCAAGAGAGAAAATGTGTTATGGAAATCCAAAGGTGCTTTGGAATAGAGAACGATCCCTTCCAAAAAGCTTAGCAAAGTATTAAGTAATATGAAAATTCCATAAAAAACAGAATATAGTACTGACTATTCCATAATTTTTGTGCTCCTATATGGTAGTGAATGCTGGATAATCTCTTCACAGATGAAGAGAAGACTCGGACTGACCATGTCAATAATGAGAAAGTTTTAAAGAAAATGAAAACAAAAAGGAGACTTATAAAGAGAAGGAAACTGTTGAAACTTCTAGGCCACATAATGAGGAAAGATGGCTGGGAAAATTTAACACTTACAGCACATAATGAAAATAAGAGACAGAGGAAAGCAATGAATAAGCTATCTAACGAGCTTGTACTGGCAGAACAGGAATTAGATGAGAGAGCAAAAAGTCAAACTTTACTAAGGGCAACAAATGACAGGAAGTTGTAGAGAGCCATCATCATTAACATCCTATAGAGAATAGTTATTTACCCTTCTTCATACAGATTAAGGAAGTGATATTTATATTTTTATACATTCTGCTCGTCTACTTTTAGTTCAAGATGTATGCCACAGGTTAATTTGATGAAAAAATGCACTCATTAGTCATGCATTTTAGTATCAACACTTACCATAATTTCTTGAATATAATACACACCCATAAATAATATGCACCCCAACAAATGATCCAAAAATTAAGAAATATATCTCTCCCTATATATAATACGCATCTCTAAATTTTGTCAAAGAAAAAAAAAATTACGAAGACATTTTTTTTCGATTTTGACATTAAGAATAAAATTGAAACTAAGTGGCTAAAATAATGTTGAAAAATACGATGCGGTTTTCCCAATAAATATAACATTTTATTTTACTGCCAAAATGGGATTCTGTCAGTGAGGATGTTATAAAGAGAGATTTCAAGAAGTGTTGTTTGATAACAACTATGGATGGCTCTGAAGATGATATCCTTTGGAAAGAGAATGAAGAGGCCAAAGATAATTTTGAACAGTATGAAGATAATATTGTGAATGATAATTTGTTTAATGACAATTTAGATATTGATTTTATAATAGAAAGTGATGATGATGATAAAAATTAAAATCTTAATAAATTGTTAACTTGATATCCCCTTTTCTTCGAAATTGGTCTTATTATAGATTTATTTTTTTTGCAAAATAGAAAATGCAGTTAATGATAAATATAAATTCATTGACAAAAAATTATTACAATTATTATTGTTGTATTTAAAATGAAAATTGGGATAATATCTTTCTTATTTTACAACAAGTACGTATTTATTGTTATAAATCAATAACAAAAAAATATTTTTGTTTAAACCTGTTTATAATACACACCCCTATTATCCATGTAATTTACAGTAAAAAATGTGGATTATTTTCAAGAAATTACGGTATTATTAATTATTACTATTGTTATTTGCCTGATTAAGTTTCAGCTCAGATTAGCTTGATGTTAATTAAAAATTAACAGTAAATCAAATTACTACCAGGCAACCAAACTGTAACTTCATTTTTTTTAAGATATATTAGGACACTATAAAAATTGACAAACTCTTTGGTCACTCATTAAAATAAGGATTTACAAGCAATTTTCAGTGAGATTCTTAACACATTTTAATTATTTTTTTCACTTTAAAACATAAGACCCATTAAGTTCAATGAAGAAGGTTGCATGAATAACCAGCTTGAAGTGGAGTGTCTTTATACTGTCACAGAGTTAAAAGCTCAATAACATAATTCAGCTGAGCCACATTTAGCATAAATAATGTTTCAATTTTATTACAAAAAAAAAAAAAAAAAAAACGTATAAAAATGCCAGTTTGTAAATATGTCAGGGATTACCCCACATTGGTGTTCCAGACTATAAAAGAGACAAGAAATCCTCCACTTCTGATTATCTCTGCCATTTTGTTGTTATTACATTCAGTCTTCATAGTTGCCTGTCAAACTTCAAACAAACCATGTGGACCTGATACATTTTCTAACCATAAAGCCTATAATGTTTCCTTCCTTTTTCAGTTGTGTAATTTCTGTTTTTAAATTGTTATTCCTTATTTAAAAATATATATGTAAATAATGCTATGTGCTGAAATTTATTCCTTTTAAAAATTTTGAATTCAATTTTCTTTGAAAATTCTCTACCTCAACCATTACAATCTGTTGTCAAGCCCAGCCCCATAACAAAAAAACAAAAGTAAAACAGAAACCAGTAGAAGAAGCTTATATTAAAAATGTTATTGCAAATTGAATTGTTAAAAAAAAGGTATCATTTTGAAAAAAAAGACATCTTTTTGGACCAATCTGAAAAAAAGATAAAATTTCCTTTCAAACATGCTGTTCTGGGAGCCTACACAAAAAATACAAGATACTGGGATTTTGGACATCTCAGGTATCAACGAACTGACTTACAATACTCCTTATCAGACTTTATACAACACAAATACATCTTCACACTCTAATATTCCAACACTCTTCTTTATTTGATAATGTATCCCTGCTACATTTATGACACAACAAATTTGTTAGATATAACCATAAGTTATACTCTAACACTTCTCACTTGTGAAATTCTCTTCTAGCTTTTTGCTTTCCAGTGAAATATGATCTTCAAAAATTTAAATGCAACATCAGCCATCATCATCAGTCTTTTTGAATTCTGCTCTTTTATTGTCCTTTCTCCTAAGCAACATTTCCTTCACTGTCAGCCATCTCTTATGTGTTATTATCTGTGATGACTTACCTTGGAGCTCGAAACGTGTGCGAACGTGTCTTGCTTGCATGGTAAATCCGAAAAGAAATATGGCTGCTGTCAAAGACGCAATTTATACATGCCGGTCTCATCCAAAACGAGATTGTACCAGTACACATGCAAATTTCAGCAGTGTCGGACTAGCATAAAAAGGCGAGGCGCCAGCGGCACAGCAGACAGCGAGTCATTCAGCAGACTTCGTGAAACAGAGTTGGACGTGCGAATAGACTGGCAGACCAAGAGGCAGTTGAAGTAGGCACGTTTGATTTGGGTGTCTATTTCACAACTGACCGGTGTAACAACTGAGAAAAAGGAGTCTCGCAATTCATTTCTTTGAGGCGACCAATGACGAAGAATAACAGCTGGTTTGCCGGCGAACCCTCTCGTCACTTTTTTGTTTTTCTCTCTTCTTTTTTCTACAGTACCTTTATCACCTTGCTTGGGGTGAAATGATTAAAAAAAAAGAAAAAAAAAAAAAGAAATTTGGGTTTAGCTTTGTTCATTTATTTGCCTTTTCCATATGTTTGTAGGTTTGACACAAGGACACAACATACTTGTGCATGATGTCAGAAACTGTCGAGTCTTTTCAGCACTTCCTTTTTGGAACACTTCAGGCAGCAAGTATTGACTTTAACTCTTCCCTTTTAAGCTCAATGAAGAAGGTTGCAGGTGCAGGAATAACCAGCTTGAAGTGGAGTTACTTTATACTGTTACAGAGTTAAAAGCTCAAGAATAAAAAAATTTTAGAATTTCCTTTGCTTAAATACTGGATACATATATGGAACAAGTTCAAACACTTTCATCAGATTCCAAAACACCAGTAAAAACATACATGCATTAAATATTGTGTTTATAGTAATAAATGAAACTTATTTAACTTTTGGGGACAGTCAAATCTTTTCTTAGTGCTTATTGATTTGCACACATGATGTTTTAATTGGTTTATCTTGTGCACACTTAAGCCACATATCTGAAGAGCTTAATTTCAAATAGAATGGATTTGCTGAAATCATGCAGGCAAAGAACCACATGAAAAGATGCATGTGTTTCTAAAGAAACAGTACATTTCACATCATGAGCATTGCTACCTGGATATTTTTAAAATAAAATTTCAGTTTGCAGCTGGAAAGAGTGTCTATTCCAAAGAGTCCTGAAGAAGACCATAAAATGGAACTTTTGAAACAAATGTGTGTGTGTAAATAACATCAATAATGTGAAGAAAAAAAAAAAGAGACAATATGATAATA